ATTTTGATTATTGAGGAAAGGAATACATATGGAAACAATTTCTTTTTCAGCAAAACAATATTCAAAGACATAATAGTCGTTATCCATGATTTGATAGAATTCGGTGCTTTGCCAACTTTGCATGCAAACATTGTTAACTAGTCAAGCTTCTTCCCTTTATTTTTTTTTAAACTTTTATATGTCCCACATCAACGAATTAATAATAATTAGTGTATCTAAATCGTCACTGCATGTATTATTATAGTACTAGATTATCAAATTAATCTATAATGATTTAACATGTGATTTTTTTAAAAAAATTTACTTGAATATTATAATATTATGTAAAAATATAAATAAAATAAAAATTATATTTTCTCAAATCAACATTTTATCAAACTAAAAATGTCACATTAAATATTTTAAAATTTTAAGTACAACAATAGACAATTTATCAAATTACATATATCAAATTATGTATAGAAGAACACGAGATTTTTTTTTGAATAATCTAGAATGATTACAAGATATATGTTTAAAATTTTTCTAAGTCAAGAATAACACATATACATCCTACAAATACAACTCCTCGAACTCAAATCCTCTCCCTTTAAAACATAACATATCAACACTTTTGACAATCGATTTTATTATGCGTTAGAATTCTATTTATATTACTTTAAAACTAAATTGTTTAATTTTATTATAGGGAGACTAATCTAGTGTCATAGAGGAACGATTTAAGTAATGTACATTTTTAAACTTTTAGTTTTTGGGTGAAACTATTTATAATCATATTCGATATAATTTTGATTTAATAATATTTTAGTTCATGTAAAAATAAATATTTAAATTTAAAAATATTAAAAAAATTATTAAATATTTAATCAAGTAGGGGTAGAACTAAAGAATGACAAATTTTTGGTCTAATTACATTTTAAGTTTAAATATTAGACAACTTAGAAGTTGTCTTTTGAGTTTTGGGTTTTTTTTCATTTATTAAGGGTGAATACAAAGTAATATATGTACAAAGACTTTCTACTATTTGACAATGAATGCTCACACCCCTACGTGCACGAATTCGGGACCTCAAGGATTAAAACAATCCCTTAATCACAAAGGTCACTTGGTTCATGCTAAATTTCGAGTTTAAATACCTAATAAGTCTTTATATTTTTCTTAAATAGTCTAATATTTCGATCCCTGCCAATATTTAATTCTGGCTCCGTCCCTGATCATATCAACCAACCACTTGGACAAATTCATTACAAGACATATGTATATAGCTGATAATTAGATTAAGGCCTATATGTAAAAATAAGAGTCCAGCTATACTTAAAATTGACTTGCCTAGAGAATTTTTTTATATATAAAATAGGTATTTAACGTTTTCTCTATTATAATTTTAGGTGTTTACAATTATTTTTATATTATTTCTTAGATTAGTTAAAGGTTTTGAAAGAAGTAAAAAAAATAGTTAAAGATCTATGAGCATGCTAAACCTATTTCCTATATTGGTTTTAGCCTTTGACTTTTGGATAAACGAGTTCTTACATTTTTAACGCAGTCTTGATTTGGGTTTATGCTGGTATTCAGCTCCCCAATTAAAACAAAAGAAATAAATAAATAAACTTATGTTAGTGAAGTAAATCATTTGAGTAGAATATGGTTATATATATATACACACGTTTGAGAAACTTTTTATGAATTTTTTTTAAACCAAGAATGAAAAAGAAAAGAAACAAAAAGGAAAGGGGATGGAAACGGGTTAACTTGCATTCGTTTCACCCGTTCTGTCTATATCATCACGTGGTTATCAAAGTAATGATCGAGTGATATAGTTGAAGTCAGTCAAAATTCAATGTTAAAATTGAAGCAATTGAAAATTTAATGATGTAGTTGATACACACATTCAAATTCAATGGTATCCAGTAGAATTTACCCTAAAAAATAAAAATTAATAATAGTTCAGTTCATGCATGAACTAAGCGAGTAGTTGTTATTTCTTGAGGTCCCAGGTTCAAGCATTCTAAATGCCAGAGATATGAGTGTTTAATGTAAAATAATTAAGAGTTATATTTGAATAGATAGTATCTTGTATTTACTTCATATTAATAATACATATAAAAAAACAGTTTGGTTCATCTCTTAGAGATGCTTTAATTTGGTTTGTCCCCATGTCCATGAAAAGAAGAGCAGAGAAGAAACAATGCCTTTAAAGTTGAACCCACCCGTATTAACCGCTGCACTCCTCTCCTCTCCTCTATTTTCATCAAATAAATACCCACTGTCATACTTCATATACACTTTTTTAAAGACATATATGCCGAGGAGCCTCCCCATGCTTTATATTAAATACTATATATTAATTAGCCTTTCTATTTGAACCTCCAGGTTGAATATCTGTTTCAAGATGCACTAACCCTTATCATCCCTTCCATACCAAAGGAACAATCACTTTTACTTTCACCCTAGGGGTAAGGAAGGTAAAGAAAAGTAAAAATAGGGGAAAAGAGCCTCTTTCTTGTTTCCAAGTTTTTTTACTAAAGCAAGTGAAAGTAAGGACTTGAGTATCCTTTGTTATCCTTCAAAACACTCAATTTTTATTTACAAATAAAAATATGGGATAAAACAATTTTAAGGATTAGTATGGACAAATGAAATGTTCAAGGACCAAGTTGAACAAAACTAGCAACTTTAGGAGCTAAAAATTGCTTTATCACTAAAAAGAAAGTAAAATATTTTTGAAGACGCGAAATGTTTTTTTATTTATTAATATTGAACATAAATTATTTTATAAAAATATAATTTAAAAGTCATAATAATGAAATATTTTTTTCACTGATTAATCTATTAAAATTTGAGATTTTTATTTTTATTGTGATTAAAAAGCATCAAATAATTTTATTTGTGTTTAGTTACCTGTAATTACATAGTATGGTATATTTGATTAACCATTGTAACTTATTGTCTCACTAAATTAGGTGTAATAAGAGCACTAAAATTTTGAAATAAAAAAATTGGTTTAGTTGTATTTAAGACCCTCAACTTTATTGTTGTATTTAAGACTCTCTAACTTTTGAAAAATAAAATTTGTGTAGCCCCTAATTGTTTTTTGTACTCAATGTAACCAAATAATCTAACTCTTTGATTATGTTGATGTTATGGTTCAAGATGTTGTTGTGGCTGTACAAGATGGAAGATGATGTGGTAAATGAGTTTAATTAATTTTTTGACTATGTTCAAGGGCTTACTTTTAAAATCAGGGGCTTAATTAAATTTGTATAAAGTTTGAAGACTTCTTTAATTTTTTTAGAAGAATTAAGAAACATATTTAAATTTAAAACATAAAATATAAACAATTATTAAAATATTCAATACATTAAATATATACAATAAAATTAAATAGAATTACTACATGCATCGTATTTAGGAGTGAATGTTCGATCGAGTCGAGTTGAGTTAAGTTAGAAAATTTCGAGTTATTTGAGTTGATGAGTCTTATTTTATAACTCAAAATTGACTCAAAATTTTTCTAGTCTAGTCGAGTATAATTTTCGAATTTTTGTTTAAATTTAATTGTAAATATTTATAATATTATGATATTATTTTATTCCAATTTAAATGGTTTTTTATAATCATTTACAATATGTATATACTTCTATATATTTTTTTCATATTTGATATACATATATCATTGTCGAAATAATTTTTTGATTTTTTAAAAAATTAATTTTTAATTCAAAAATGATTTTTAAAAAATCTCTTGCTTCGAAAAATTTGGGATTTCCTTTTAAAAGTAAATTAAAATATGGGTTGAGGAGTCGCCACCAATCTTTGATTAGGATATGATTGGGTATCCAAAAACATGTTTGTCATTTTAATAAAAATATTAATTTTAATTAAAACAACAAATTTACGGTATGCGTACCAGAAAACACACAGTTAATCTGAAAGCATTAACAAACAAGTCAATACAACTATTTAGTGATTAATCAAATGGAACACAAAATTTTATTTAAAATCAAACAAGGGATCAAAAACCAAATTAGAACGAACTTGTAATTTTTATTTACAAAGACAATTGATTAATTGACTATCTGCCAAAATTTTGGACCTACAAATTAATGCATAATAATAATAATATAAATATGAAAAACGAATATATATATATATATATATATATATATATATATATATATATATATATTCAAACTATATACTATATATATGTATGTATAAACAAAATAAACCAAAATTAGTAAAACTATAATGAGAATAAAGAGAAGAAAATTCATTGGACGAAAACAAGTGTCTATAATCATATTAAGTTGAGATACTCGATTTAAACTTAAAAATCAATCTCATAATTATTAAAAAAATTAAATTATTCGAGATGTATTTTATAACTAGATCTGAACTTAAAAAATTTTCGAATCGACGAGTTTATGAAAATACAACTCAAAATCAATTCGATCCGAGTTGAGTTTTGTTCACTCTTAACTATATCATGTCTTTTTCAAGTCTAGCTTCTAGAATCCATGGCAGTCAATATCACTAGAATGTTTGATCTGCGCCATTACCTCAATTTTGTAACATCGTTAATATTTTGCACCATGCAAAACCCTCGTACTTTAATATTAACAAACGAAGAAGCAGATATAGTAAGTTGTAGAACGTGGGATCTTCTTACGAGAGTTCGAATCTCTCAGGCTTCGCATATATTTTGCCGAAGCAAAAAGAAAAAAAAATCATCGAAGACTAATGTAGTAAAAAGAAACTCGGAGACCGATGTAGGAAATCTATTGAAATTTAGGGACTACTTAATAGAACTATATATATATATAAGAAACATTAGACATGAAATCCGAAAAACAAGCTCGGTAAGTGGGAAATGGATAGAGGAATATTCATGCTCTACTGTACTGAAGCCCCTTCACTTTCAACCAATATCTCCACAGATCTTCTCCTCTGTTCTGTTCACTGGGATAAACGGCTACTGCATTTTCACTTATTACTACTGAACACAATGACCAAAACCCCCCTCCATTATCAATAAAGCTTCCTACACACCGAATCCTCGGGTAAAGAGACCCAAAATCTCTCTCTCCTCCTTCCCTTTGATAATGAACCCCAAAAGCCCATTATTAGGATGATTATAAACCAAAGCGCACACAGTTAGGCACAGTGCTTTTAGTCTTAATCTTTGCTTTTTAGCCAAGCGAACAACCGAGAAACACAAGTGCTGTTAAGGGAACAATGTTGTACATGAACCACATTGTGTTGTTGTTCCTCCTAACCTCTTCTTCTCCCCTTGCTATATCCACATTCAACCTCACATTTCCCGTTCCACATCCCAACCCCAATGAAGTCGCTCAAGATGTTCAAAGGTATCTAACAAAAACCTTTCATTTCTTACTATTTATGCTTACCGTGACACAAACCAAGTCACATCAGTCGGTAAAGGATTATTGTCATCTTTGCTTTTGTGCAGGAATTCCAGCGTCCATTGTTAAATGAGTTAGAATTTTTAAACAAATATTATCTTATATTCCCATAATTATAAAAAGAATTATGCTTATTGTGGCCTTTTGTTTCATTTTTTTGTTGCAGGAGAGTGAATACTTCAGTTTCAAGAAGGCAAGCCCTGCAAAACGATGAGTCGGCTTGCCTTACAGGGAACCCCATAGATGACTGCTGGAAATGTGACCCTGACTGGCCCAACAACCGCCAGCGGCTAGCCGATTGCGCCATCGGGTTCGGGCAGTACGCGTTGGGAGGGAAAGGAGGTGAGTATTACATCGTGACGGATTCATCGGATGACGACGCGGTGACTCCGAAGCCTGGAACACTTAGATATGCGGTGATTCAAGAAGAGCCGTTGTGGATTGTTTTCCCGGGTAATATGCACATCAAGCTCAAGCAGGAGCTTATATTTAACAGCTACAAGACGTTGGATGGGCGTGGGGCTAATGTGCACATCACTGGCGGTGGTTGCATTACTTTGCAGTATATCAGCAACGTCATTATCCACAATATCCACATTCACCATTGTTATCAGTCAGGTAAACACTGTTGTTTTTTTACCCCCTTGTTTGAAGCATTATCAGAGGATATAGAGATATTATTCTATTTTTCTTCAAATTACATGCAAGTCTCGGTAAAAGTTAAATATATCATACTTTCACCTATAATGTAGCTCTCAGGCTAAACTGTTAATAGGGGTATTGAGCCAATTTAGTTTCCCCTATATATGGTTGGATGTAATAAATGTGCAAGGACTTGTCCTAAACAAAATGACAAAGGTTAGGTCTGATTTAATATGTTTGTCTTTATTGGTACTATTATTTTTTCCAGAGTCGTAGCGATTTGAACATTTTAAGGGATATGAGAAAGTGTAAAAGAATATATATATATATATATATATATATATATATATATATATATATATATATATTGCAATATTCCAACAAAATGCTTGGATGTGGAATAACTTGTAGTTGCAGATTTTATGATTGATAATCTTACTTTTTGAAACAATAGGTTCGTCAATATTTAGTGTTCTTTCACTTTTCTTTTCTTATATTAAGGGTCCCAACCCAATAAATAGATAAGTTTATATTTTTTTTATAGCAAGTGTATATTTTTTCACTAATATGTTCACTTTACAAGCTCAATTATTTGATTTCGAAATTTTTAAAAAGAACAATATTTTTTTACTATCGAATTGGGTTTATGATTTCGAAATAAAACATATATTTTAGATAAACCCAAGTTTTGAGCTTAACGTGCATGAACAGGTGAGGCAAATGTGAGGTCAAGTCCAACGCACTATGGGTGGAGAACAGAATCAGACGGTGATGGGATCTCAATCTTCGGATCAAAGGACCTGTGGATAGACCATTGCTCTTTATCACACTGCAAAGATGGGTTGATTGATGCCGTGATGGGATCAACGGGAATCACAATATCAAACAACTTCTTCTCCCACCACAATGAGGTGATGCTGTTAGGTCACAGTGATGACTATGAGCCTGACTCAGGGATGCAGGTCACCATTGCCTTCAACCACTTTGGTGAAAAACTGGTTCAGAGAATGCCGAGGTGCAGGCGAGGCTACATCCATGTGGTCAACAATGATTTCACTCAGTGGGAGATGTATGCCATTGGCGGTAGTGGAAACCCCACCATTAATAGCCAAGGGAATCGTTACACTGCCCCTACTAACCGTAACGCCAAAGAGGTAAATCATAATAACAATAACTGTCGCTTTATTATTAAAAAATACAACGTCAATAATTTTATTAATTTTATACATTAAAATAAAATTAAAATATAATATTAAATATGATTAAATAACTTATCCTTAAAAAAAAGAAAAAGATTACCGTATTTGCTTTTTGAGTTTGACAAATGAATCAATCACCTCACCGGAAATTAAGTTTAGTTTTTCGAGGTGGGGTCGTTTGAAAGTGAAGGTAATTAAGAATTAAGAAGGGTTTTTCAAAAAGCTGAAAATTTTGAATATTTTTTTTTAGCTTTTGCATGAGAGAGAATGTCTTTTTTGGTTGATTAAACAAATGTTTAGAGGATCCCATGTGGTTGTGGTGCATAGGTAACAAAGAGAGTGGATACAGCTGATGGAGATTGGAAAGGCTGGAATTGGAGATCAGAGGGAGATGTGATGGTAAATGGGGCCTTCTTTGTTGCATCAGGTGCAGGTGCTGAGTTCAGGTATGAGAAAGCCTACAGCGTTGAGCCTAAATCGGCTGTCCTCATTGACCAACTCACTATGCACTCTGGTGTTCTTGGAGCTGGTGGCAGGTATGTGTATATATATTGCACTACACCTTAATGGATAATGCACATGGTTTCAACAATCTAAATTTGAATGTTGATGAAACAGGGACAATAACTTGGGGAAGTGGAGCAGCGGAGCCAACGGTGGTGGAATCGGTTTCGACTCTGGTGACGACGATGACGACTATTCGGATGACATGTCGGGAAGCAACATGCCATTGTTATCTGCAGTTTTCTCTCTTTTCATAGCAATGTCAAGTTTTTTGTTCTTGTATTTTAAGCCTCCACCCATGTTATGACAAACAGAACAAGTTAATGACTTTGTTTCGATTTCAATTGTAACCAGCTTTCAAAGAAAAATGGCTGGACTTTGATTATCTGAATTCAGCGATTAACTCCCACCATTAATATTTGGCTCTTTTTTTATTCATTATCATCATTTCCACCATCAATTGCCGTCCTTACTAATAAGATATATCTATTCAGATATTTTCTTAATTATTGATAATGTACACGTACCTTATAAATACATCTGCTTGAACTCGAGACTTCTAGGAAATGATACCTTTCTTCCTTTACCACTGAGGTAGTTTATTGCAATCTTACGCTTCCATTAAAATGATAAGGTAACTGCTACATTAATTGCTGTAAACTTATGATTCCAACAGTTTAATATATAGCAATCAAATTCCCATCGAAATTACAAGATGATAAGGCCTCAAATGCCACCTTAATCTGGGTATGTTTCAATGGTCAAATTGAATGAAAAAATTGAAAATAAGAAAAAAGTTGTAGTGGGTTGAGAAAAGGAATACCATCAAAATGGCGAGAACAATAGTAATGACATCAACCTGCTTGAATCCAACACTGATTAATCAGTTAGATTGTGACCATGTGATCTCCACCTTTCTCCGCCGCCGCATCGGCGAGCTTTTTCCATACCATTTCCCGTTGCTCTTCCACCTCTCTAGCTCTGTCCTTCTCCCCTGCAAACTGCGTCTCACACTCATCGAACAAATCTTCATCCATTTCCACAAACATCCTAACCACATTTTCAGTTAACCCGTGGATGGTCGTATTCCAATGATTTTGGATATTCCATTCAAATGCCTCAAAGATGATCGGTAGTATCACCTGCCGATTCTCCACAATTAAGCCCACAATGTGCTCATTCTTCCACAAGAAGAGGGTTCTTTCTGAAACCTGCAATATGAAATGGTTTCAAGAAGAATTATGAAGAAAGTTCTTGTGTTTATGAAAATTATTCCTACTATATAAGAGAGCAACTTATTCAATGAACATCAATTTTGAAGCAAAAATGTAAAATTTTATGCTGTAATCTCGAACATTAAAAATGCCACACTTATTTAAAAGTAACATGAGAAGAAAAAAAGAGCAAAATTTTAATGTGACCATGACTAAATTGCTCACATTTTTTCTCACTTCCACCTTAAAATACAAGTCATTTTTTTAACATTCAACGTTATTGCCATAATGCCATTTACAATTTTAACTGTTTACTTCAAAATTAAATGTATAAGGACTAAATTGCTCACTTTTATAGTAGAAGGACTAATTTGCTTCTAAGCTTCTAGTACAAGGATCAACCACATAAACCTAAAAGTACTTACTGAAACAACTCAAAATTCCATTGTATCATCTTTTGCAATAAGTAACTTGACTCAATAAAGAAACTGGTTAAGCACCATCTAACCATATGACATATAAGGTAAGATGAAGATTAAATGAAAAGAAGTAAAAAGACAGGAGAAATTATTCATCAAAGGTATAATCATCAAAAGGATCTATAATTGAGTCATGATTAAGCTCAAATGCATTAACCTACGGCCATGAAGGTTTGTAAAGCAATCTATGGAACCGAGCAATAAATAGTTTGAGATTACGAAACCAGTATCATACTTGATTTGGAATGTGAGTGTGAGTGTCCAATTGTGTTGCGACGAGTATTTGATGTGCTTCTCTATCATCTATATTATTAAGGATATGATCCTTTGAGGGTTAGACATTTCCAATCCAGACATACGCTTATCTAAAATATGATCTTAAAAAGAGTGTCGACATATCCTATTTATTTTCAAGTTCTATAATTTAATTTAATTTTTTATTTTGTTCTTGTTCTTTTGTTTATTAGCTTTATGTTTAATTCGTTCCATTTACATATCGAGCCGTTTAGGAAAGTAAAATATTAATAATTTATTTCCAGTTTCATACTTATATTCAAAGGATTAATCAATCCAAGCTTCTACTACGTCATCAGTACTTAAAATCAAAGTTTATTGAGAAGAAATTGTAAGTTTTTTTTCATGAATTCATGATATTAGGAACTATGCAAGATCAACACAAGGTAAAAGGAAATAACCAAACAACTTCCTAAGCAACCAGAAGTTGAGGTTTGGATAATCATTTATCTATTTGTAAGCTCTAAACATAAGTGATTGCATTGCAATAAAATGTTATCTGCCTACAAAGAAGAAGAGAAAAGAAAAATAAATGGTGGAAGAGATTACATATAAAAAAAGCAATTCAATTCCGTTTTCTTCCTGACAGAAGAGCTCATTCCAGCAAAGAAAAATGAAACTAGTAGGATACTAAGCTATTCCTCAGTCCTTTTCAATAAAAGCAAGTATAACGTTCAAAATTAGGCAGCATTCCAACACAAGTTTAGAGAAAACCATATCAGAAATGCTAACAAACACAATTATGCATCACATTGCAGTATCTTCCTAAAGATCATATGGTAATGCTTCAGAATCACGAAAATTCACGGAGAAGTACCAAAAGTTAAAAGTTACTTGATAATGAGAACTACGAAGGCAGCGAGCAATCTGTCTGAAAAGGGGAAGTATACATCTTTGGAACTCGGCCGACTGTGTTACTTCGAGTACTTTCTCAAGTTCCCCAAGGAAGAGAATTTCCTTTGGACAATTAGTCACTGGCCAATACTTCAACAACCCTCTAATTACGGTATCAGCCAGCCTATAATCCTTCTCAACAAACTGAACTATACAATAAGACAACTGCTCCTGGTACATCGAAACAGTTTTCGGCTTATGCAAAGGAATCAATGCTCTAACAAGGAACAACCTATGTTCCTCTTTCATAGGCCAAGAGAACCCATGAATTATACTTCCTAGAACCTCCAAAAGCTCCCCTATACCCCCATGCCTCTGCGTTTCATATAAAAACCTGTAAAAAATATTGTTTATTGCCTTCCTGATGCACGGTCTGTGCACCATGAATTTACCATAAATCCTATGAAGGATCGTTTTTAAGTACTCTCTTTCCCTGGGATCCTCCGAATTAAACAAATCAAGAACCTTCAAAACAAACGTATGGTCAATGTATCTCTTGGCAACCTTGGTGTCGGTATCAGATGACACTACGTATCTCAAGAGAATCTCGTACACAAGCTGTAAATGAGGCCACGAGGGTTCCGAATACGGTTCCTCTTCTTCGGGATTCAAGGCTTCCTGTCCCGTATTCTCGTGGAACGCCGGCGGGAGGCACCGGAAGATGTTGACGGCGACCATTTTGATCATATCATCCTGACATCGCTCCGTCATTTTTCCCGACCCGGATTGAATGAAATCCACGAGTTCCAGCAACGTTTTCCGTTTGATTTCTTTCTCCCGGACCAATTTCGTGCTCTTGGAAAAATCCAATTGGAAGCAACAAAGCTGCAGTTTCCTAAGGAACAGGGTTTGCCTATCGGCGACGGGGACGTCTTTGAATAACGGCAAGGGTTCGACGGCGAACATCGGGGGAAGGGTCGTACGGACGCCGGGATTTGGGCCTTTTGAATTGGGTTTTGCCACGGAAGCGTTGTTGACAACTGGTGTACCCGACCCGGGATTGCCGCAACCGGGTAGCCCGTGCCCCTGAATAGATGCATCCAGTGAATCTGATTTGGAATGCTTCCGTTGTCCTCCTCTCATAATTTTCTTTAACATTTTGAAATCCACGGGTGGGCTTAACAAGGATTAGGGATTCGATGGTTTTGATTTCCAGCTTTCGATCGATCGGCATGCATGCACTAACGCCCCTCTAAGAAAGAAAATTTGAAAACGGCGATTTCCATCTTGGACTTCTTTCTCTGTTGATTGATCGGAAAACTGGAGATTGACATCAGAAAAGACAGACTGCCGGGATGTTGGTCAGTTGATCTAACGGTGGTGATTCTCCGACAATTGATCAACGGTCCAATTTAAGGTAAGGGAAAGCTTTTAAAAGAGAGTAATAGTTGCAATAAAAGGCTTTTGATAAACTGTTTTTTTCTTAAATAAATTACTTGATTTTCTAGAGTCTTATTTAAAAAAATTTAGAGTAAACTATACTTATAGTCATTGAATTTTTACGATGTTTTCACGTAGTCGTTAAAATTTTAAAATTTATATTATAATTATTAAACTTTTATTTACCTTCATTATCATTAAAATTGTTATTATAACATGTTAAAATCTTTTTTCTCAAAATTTTTTTTATTAGATTTTGAATTTGTAGATGTCCTCAAGGCCAAAATTTTAATTAATGGCACATCTGTTGATTAATTCCATTAGTGAGAATGATTCATTTACCTAAATGATTAAATAATTTTAAATTGATCCGACTATTTGAAATGACAGATATGAAAGTTTTAACTTTTAGTTTCAATTGAGATATGATTGAAGTGTAAGGAGACTAGAAGATTTTTCGACGAGTTTGAACCGAAAGAATGAAATAAAAGAGGAGTGAGAAGAGCTTAGTAATTTATTCTATCGAAAAAACTACCGAGCGACGTGAAAACAAAGAAGAAACTAAAAAAAATTATTTTTCATTATTATTAAAATCAAGTATATTGATCTTATTGTCAAACAAAACCTTTCCGCCATTAGCTCTATTGAAATAAAACTAAACATTTTGTGGATTCAAAAAGTATGTTTTTATTTGAGGAAGAGGATGACATGCCAACATTTTTATTTATAACTAATGACATTGGTTGGTCCCAGGCAATCCTTGGCATCGCATCAGCAATTTCCATTTCCTTCACGCAAAGTATGAGCTACTCAAACATTCCAGCTTAGACCTAGGATCTCAATCATATGAAGAACAATATGAGAGATCCGTTCCATGTCAACACCTTGCTGTAAAAGCAGAACCACCTCCTTACAATCAGATTCAAACCACCATTCCAATAACTATGGAACTGTTTCTTAGAAACACATCAATAAATTCATCTACCAATATAATTTCTTTTTAAAATTGACAAATTTTCAACTCAAAATCCAATGAAAATTTTCCATTATAACATGGTTAAAAAATTTGATGAATCTCTGACATTTTGAAAGCTGGGAAGGCTACAAACAAAGTTGAGTAATGAAAAAATAATTTACCCAAAAAGAAAATGTTCATATGGTTTGTTCCATTTCAATGGCTTATGAAGAGCTTATTGGCATTTGTACACAAGTAAAACATTTTAAAGAAATTATTTGGCTGAAGCTCCATAACTGCAAGTTCATATGCGTCAAGTTCCTAACTCACTGCATCTTTACATGTCAAAATGGGTAATTTTGGTGGGACAATGTCCGACCCAAAATTCCCAGGTAAACCTCTTATGAAATCCCGAGTTCTAGACGTTTATGCGACACGAAAATGTACAGAGTTGCTAAAGACATTTGTACAATTCTGATACCAGACACAAAAACCTATTGCTTCAATGTCTTCCACTGTAAGTCGATGAAACTTATCACATCATTTGCTAACTATATTACCTTAACCATCAAAAGTTCATGCACTTCGGCATGGCACAATCACAAGGAAATGATTGAAGTCCTTATTTGGTGTGATGGCACACAGACGACTTCAACCCCAAACCTCATGGCCATGCATTAAACAAGCTGCCTTCCCCAATGCAGTCAATGAGCTTATCTGTTCCAACCGAAATCCGATGCCAAACCGATCTGCGATCGCAAGTATAAATTAACGACGAGTTCCACTAGTTTTTGTTCTTGATACAATGACATCCAATATAATATCGCACTCTAAGATTCTTATGCCACATTCGATGCTTATTACTTAGCTAACAATGGAAAAGCCATTTACCATAATGGTATGCATAACATATAGAATCTTTCTCTTCCACCCATCCGAAATTATCGATCAACTCGGAGAATGTTGTTGCATATTCTGCCATTGCTTGTTGTCTCTCTCTCGGGATCAAGTTTCCATTCACCATCAACAATAAATTTTATCTGCAATTAAACAAGATAATGGAATGGAAGTTGTGACAGATTCATTCCTTTAATCACATACAGGCACTAAATTATATTTAACGACAACATTATATCCAAAAATCATGTACATTTAATATCAGTCACAGTGTCATTCACCTTTCCAAGGGATCATCTGTTTTCGGTCAGAAAATGAAAAGGAAGAACTTATGGATTCCTTAAGATAAAAAGTAAAAGCTCGTCAACCCCTAACATAAATATGACCCTCATTCTACACAATTTTCAAGAATAGTGTTCTTCAAATAGGCGTTCTGAACTTAAAGAATTCTAATGGATTCCTTAAGCAACCATTAAAGATGTATTCTAATAATAAAATACACTTTTGGTCCTAAACCAAAGAGCCCCTTGACTAATTGATCACAAGTAGAGTGGAGGCTGACGCCCCTCATATCGATAACTAGTAGCGTAGTTTTGGATAAAAGAATTTTATTTAATTAAAAAAACGAATTGAACAAAACAATTTTCACCTTTGCTTTATACTTAGTTTTGAATAGCATGATATTCAGTTGGTTATAGTTTCTGAAAGCTAAATAGTGCAGACTAGTTTCAGAAGTCCTAAAAAGAGCTCGCTTTTGTCGAAATCAACATCTAATTTCTCTTATCATTATGAAATACAAAATATCACTTTTAGGAATATCGAGTCTAGGCGTAAAATAAGCAGGCAGCCTTTGGAAGTGAATTGAAAACCAAATGGTTTCAATATTCAAGGCAAAATGCATAAAAGTAAGCACATTAATATGTCATTGGCAGATGTAGCAATATAGTAGTTTTGTTATTTCACTTATTTGGTAGAAGTTCATACCTCGTATACTCCGGGATAAAGCCATAGCACTGTTGACCAGATTTTGGATTTACTGGAAAGTGTGTAAACATAACATATATAAGCAGAATTACAAAAATCAAGAGAAAAAGATAGCATGCAGAATTGGGGAAAAAAAGAATGAGATACGGTGCTCAAGTCCAATGAAACATCATTTGCTAGTAATTTTTCAAATTTTGTTATCATATATGCACAGCATTTAGAAATTTCTCGTGGAAAGACTCGATTTTTTAGTCCTACCATTAGTAAACCTTAATGGTTGGTGAAATGTAACAACTAAAAAGTTGAGTAATGTATGCTAATAATAAAAAGATGTGATCACACAGAAGATGTAATTAAATCTAAAGATCAATACTCTAGCAGAAAATTTATTTGATGAAAGAGAACATTTAACACCTTGACTCGATGGGGTTTTCGATGATTGAAGATGGTTTATGATCCATTTTAATCCGATGATGCCAACCGTTGAAGCTACCAGACACCTCCACAATTTCACCATCTCCAGAATATTCGAGTTGCACCTATTATAGTAGTTCAAAATTCAGTTTCATTTGTTTCGATATTTACTTGTCTTGAAAAAACTACAGTAACAATGAGCAGGAAAATTATGCTGGGGATTGACTGTAAAGGATATCATAATCTTGTTCCTGGAATGATAATAGTAAGAGATAACAATCAAGCTCATTAAAAAAATACTATGTTACTTGGACTCCTCATTTTTATTTAAGTACCTGTGTCCGACACTCGTGTCCAACACATTGATACATGAATATGACCTCCAATGATGATCCAGATATATGGAAAAACTTAGAAAACATACAGGCATACCACAATCACATCTGAGTCCGAATAACATAGAAAAAACATTAAAAAAAATAAAGGGGGAAAAAAGTCAAGCAAGACTGTTATCAAATGTACCTCCTGTAGGCCTGATAGGCTTTCCTCAGCAGCTTGCAATTCAGCATCTTTCTCAGAGACAAGTTTTTGAACTTTCTGGATTTCCATTTCAGCCTTGGTTTGTAGGGAAGACAAAGCCATCTAGAGAAAAGAGTGATATGAACAATATACCATTAGGACCCTAAATAGACGCTAGCATTTCAATATACGCTTAACAGACTTTATATACGACACGAAAGTTATTAAATAAGCTCTAACAATGCTCGCTGATATTGTGCAAGAACCACACAAAATGTTCGATAAGTAAAAAAAATTGGTAAGAAAATAGCAAAACGTACCTTTTCTTTTTCAATCTGCTCCTTCAAATGGGACAATTCTAATTCCTTTTGGTGCTATTCACACAAAGAGAAGAAATAAAGATGCTAGATGGTTCATTAACGTCTAGAAAGAAAACTTCACATACTGGCAAAACTATAAAAATAGTTAGTAGTGAGAGATATTATACGTTAAAACTATATACCAGCATAAACTTGAGATGATTAATCTCAATTAGATTGTCCCTTCCATTCGTCTGCAACAAAGAGGAACGTACAGTAAGATATATGTTTGTATGTGTGTGACAATAAACACTGAATTTAAAGCAAACTAGAACTTGAAACTACCTCAGAATCCAAACCCTCCCTCAAATCATTGTCTTTTAGTGTTTGAGCTTCCCTATTATCATAAAAGCAAAATAATTATCAGAAGGCTCAAGCCAACCAAAACAAAAGAAATCAAGCAAACAAATTATTTGACACCAGTTGAATAAAGGTGTGATATCCATGCTTATCATCCATGTCTATGCAGCTTCAACACTAAGTTTAAATATGTTAGCTGGACCCAAATGGAAGTGTTTTTCAAGAATTTCTTGTATTTGGGGGAATCCTTAAGAGGATTGTAAATCACGGGTATTTCAAGAACAATGAAGTTCCAGAGCAACATAAAAGTTTAATGCCACTAAACCACTCACTGTTAACAAAAAAATAGCAAGTAAAGTAGAGTACTATAAATAATCATAGACTTTAAGCAGAAAGTAATTCCGAGTTGTAGATCCAGTACTTTAAACTGTTTCAACACTGCGCTAACCTCCAAGGTAGGTAATCCATTGCTACAGGAGGAGCAACCTGCTCGGCAACTGTTGCACTTCCAGTCGATGTGATGGGAGCATCATAGGCATGTCCCGAGTGCTCTTCACTTCTTTTTATAGATTGAGTTGCTACTTCATTATTAGTTCTGACAACTTCCTTGCTTTCTTTCTCACCACCTTCATTTAATATCTTGTAAACATCATCTGCATAGCCAGAAACAGTAGATACTTGAATTCATGTACCGAACCCACACAAAAAATCAAGGGACAATCTTTTGAATTTTGAAACAGCCACACGGACCATCTAAGTTAGCTGATTGAGGAAATACTAACAACTACAATTTGTGTTTCAGATGTTCAAACCAAAAGCAGAAACCATCCTCATGAACTGGAACACAACAATGACTAACAAAACGAACAAAATAGTGTATCTGCAGAAACTTACACTCGATTGCATCCAAATCTCCGTTCTGAACAAAGTTTGCAACTTTTTTCTCCAAAGATGACGTGGCTGCAGGTTCTTCAGGTATCAGAATATTATTATCAGAATTGTGACGCAGATTAACATTCAAACTCCTAGAATAATCCTCATCAACTGGGAAAAAAGCTGACGCGGAAGCATCTTCAAGCATAGCGCCTTCCATTTCATTTTGACATCCCAAAGTGGGTACTGTAGTTTCCTTCATGTAATTATGTTCAGAAGAATCAACACCCTCTCCAACTAAATTATTTTCCATGTTGAAAACATCAGTTGGCAAGGAGACATCTTCGATTGCATTCTCACTCTTTTCATATTGACCTTTAAAAGTATCCTCTGAATCACCAGTGGCATCATGCTTTTGAGCTACCCTTTTCTCTGCAACAAATCCATTGCGGTCTGTTTTAGGCGAACTCGAAAGAAGCTGTTTGATAGGCTTGTATCCTCTTCGTTTAAGAATGTTAGCCAAGTCACTCCTACAAAAGAACAATTGGGCAACAAGTGAAACAAATTTTCTTTTCTCCCACCTCACTCCTTTTTCTCTCTTTTGTCATCAGTGCTTAATTTGATAACAGAATAAATCAAATTGAATGACACAATAATATTAACCTAAGACCCTGGTAGATTCCATAATTTCAATCATTAGTAGTTTAGCAACCCGTAAATCTCCAAAACAAAAACTTGGTTTCAATCAAGGCCAAAAGGTTAAACTTTTCATAGAAACCCACAATTCCCCTACCAATTCAAACAACAAGTCAAAATTTGGACTCCATCAAGGCCAAAAGGTTAAAATTTTCATCCAACCCAACATTTTAAATAACCCCTTTTCAAGTTAATGAAAATTAACCAGTAAAAAAGGAACAATATTTATGAACTTCAACTATAAAAGTACCTTCCATACTGAGAAAGCTGTTTCAAGGAGGGAACATGACCCTCCGGAAGCCCAACCGCAGCTACAAATTCCCTTATATCAGTACACAGTTCCTCATTGCTCTTTACCTTTCTCCCACTCCTAAAACAAGAAACAAATAACAAAACCATTAAAAGAGGGCAAAGCAAATGAAGTATTAATAAAAATGAATACTTTATACAAAAAAGTACAAACCTGGGTCTCTTAGCAGAAAAAGCACAAATCTTTAAGTTTCTTCTAGGTTTGTATTCATGGGTTATCCAGCTCGGCCATTGTTGTGGCTTTGATGAGAAAATGGGTTTATTAGAAGAAAGGGATAGGAAAGTTTGGATTTGAAACAAGGTTGCCATCGTGGGTAAAACCTCGTTGCAGCATTGAATATTTCAATTATAGTTCTTTAATGCTTTCATGTCAGAGGAAGGAATCATAGAGTTGAGAGTATACAGGTTTATATATAACAATTATACATATGTGCGTGTGTAAGTAGTTGAAATTTCTGGGTTTAGACTCCGTTGAGAATATGCTGAATACAAGGAGGTGGTTTGTTGGTGTTCGGAGGATTTTTAAGCTGTCAATTCAATCTTGCGATGATTGAGATGAAATCTCAGCAAACATTATCTTAGATATTCTTTTGTTCCAGTTATTTCTGAATGTTTAGTTTGGATCAATTTAAACAAAAATGGTTTGGAAGGCCCATAAGGAATAAATGTTGGGTTTATCTTATTGGAATATCCCATAAAGTTATTTCGAATTATTCAAAAATTAGAGTTATTTTTCTTTCCAAAAGCAAGTGTAAATTGGCTAAACACCATGCAATATGTACATAAAATGTATAATTTTAGTCCAAGATTTGGGTTTTCACCCCTTCCTCTAACATAAATTTGTTCTTCATCTTTTTTTTGTTACTAATCTGTCAAAATTGATTAGTACTTTTTTTATAAATTGAACATATATATTTTTTATTAGTATTCATCACATTATTAGAATTATATAAAAAATCAATGAATCATGTTCAATTAATAAAAAAATTATATGTTATTCATTTATTTAAAAAAAAAATTATTATTACTTTAATTTAGAAAATTATAAATAGACGAGTTCAAAAAATATTCTCTTTATATTCAGTTTTCTCATGCTTATAACATATCTTTGTTTATTTTAAATTATATATTTTTACTAAAAGATTTTGAAGAAGATTTATGAATCATCAAGATAATTCTAATTTTAATGTAACACATGAACCAACTTTCCTAAGTGGTTAAATGAATCATTATTGTTTCTAGAGTCCATAGGTTCGAGCACCATCGGCTGCAACATGATGATTGAGCGAGTATTCATTGTCAAATAGTTGAGAACATTTAGAATATATATTACTTTGTAATCACCTTGGCTTAATAATTGGTTTAATAAAAAAATTCAAATGTGACGTTGCTGAATTAATCAATTATTTCAAATCAACTTTAAAATATCATATTTATTGGTATCAGAGTTTATCCTACTAAGTAGGATTTATCTTAGTAAAACATCAACCAATGTATATCCCTAAGTTTTGAGATATGAAGAATGGGGACGGCAAAGGAACCCCGTTTCTAGTACCCGATACATCTTCGGCACGGAGACAACATGGGGACAGCTGAGGTACGTATCGAGGATGTGTCACAGTGATGGGTTACGGCTGAATGAACTCGAGGACCTTCGATGCTTATCTAGGGACATTTAGGGGGACATCTCCAAGGATAATTTTGGTTTTGAGTAGGATTTATCTTAGTAAAACATCAACCAATGTATATCCCTAAGTTTTGAGATATGAAGAATGGGGACGGCAAAGGAACCCCGTTTCTAGTACCCGATACATCTTTGGCACAGAGACAACATGGGGACAGCTGAGGTACGTATCGAGGATGTGTCACAGTGATGGGTTACGGCTGAATGAACTCGAGGACCTTCGATGCTTACATGGGGACATTTAGGGGGACATCTCCAAGGATTATTTTGGCTTTGAGTGTACTGATGTGATTTGTTTAAAGAGAAAAAGTTATGTGGAGAAGAACTTGTAAGTTGGGTATGGGATCTCAAAGTCGACACTAAGCGTCCAACATCTAGTCAGACGGTCGGAGGTTTCGCCGTTGTAACCGAAAGTTAGAATTCGTTGCCGGTTAATTCAGGTTGTCATAAACATTTTTTTATAAAAATTTGATTTAATATTATTTTAATAACGATTACGACTTTTATTTGGAAAAATTGGTGATTTTGGAATTGATTTGAATTAAAATAGAAAAGAGTCGCCATCGACCTTTGGGTTAGGTAGGTCGAAACCTAAAAACGTCTTTCAAAATAATTTTAAGAAAAATCATTTTTAAGACTAAATTCGGTCTGCATTACCAAAGATTCATTTAAATGGATTCGGGAGTCGGTTACGTGTGGGGAAGGGTAAGCACCCCCACAGCGCCCAAAAATGGTACTGTGTCGCTTACACATTGTCGTAAATGGTGGAAATGATAAATCGAATATAAAATTAACCTATGATCCATTTATTGAGATTTATTTAATTTGCCTCGAATTATTTAAAGAAAATCCTTTAACTCAATCAGAAATCTTGAAATTTGCAATCCTCCGTCGAGAAAGCTATTTCAACTATTTCTCATTCGTAAAAGAATATTCTACCATTGATTATGTTAAAAATACAAATCGAATATAACTAAAAACAATGTTTACATACGAATAAATTGATTAACTAAAAACGTGAATTGAATACAAATTAAAAATTTTGGAATTTACATTCACATAAAATAAAGTAAATTGTCACTTAAAATAACACACATTGCATCGTTTGAACAAATTAATTAGCAAAATATACTCAACTTATTTCAAGTTTCTATGTCGTTAAAATGCCGTACCGGATTACACCACTTCGACCAAGTGGTACTTTCCACGCTCATTCTACGCATACATGTTCTTAAAAGTATTTGGACAATATTTAAATAAAGAAAAATGGAAATAAATAGAAATAGAAATATGTGAAATAAATATTTACAACAAATAAAATTAAACATATTTAATTACATATGGTACAAATAGATACATAACATGAAAAATGTACATACATAGGGGATTAAAATAAAAGAAAATTAATATTACAAACTAAACTATAATGACAAAAAAGTACTTTGAATTACAAAAACCCAAAATAACAACATATAAACTCAAAGGACCAAAATAGTACAAACATGAATTTCAAAGGACTAAAATGAAATAAATAGAAATATGAAGGGATTAATCAGTAAATAAAAAACAGAGCCAAAATCAAAATATTAAACATTTACAAGCACTAGAAATGAAAATAAACCATAAACAACATCTAGGACTAAACTGCAATAACAAAAAACATGAAGGCCGAATCATAATTAAACCAAAAGTAAGATAATGACTAAAATAATAGATTTATAACTATCATAGCCAAATTTGAATATCAGAAAAAGTACACAACACCTAAGATCAGTGACTAAAATATAATATTTATAAATGTCAGAGATAAATTCGAAACTCAGCCAAAATACATAACATATAAACTCAGGGGCTAAAATGAAACTATTACAAACATTGGGACCAAAGTCAAATATCCACAAAAATGACATAACATGCATTAGTAGGACTAAAATATAAACAAGGAAACATAGATGCTCAAAACAAAAGAAAATAAAATAGACATTAAACCAAACATCAAACAATGACTAAAATAGAATATATACGAATATGATGACCAAACTCAAATAACAGTAAAGATAATAAAATGCATGGGATCAGTGATTAAATTAAAATATTTGAAAATATGAAATCCAGAATCAAATATAGACAAATATGATATAAAACATGAACAGGGACTAATATATAACATTTGCAAATTTCAGGACCAAATCCGAATAACAAAGGAAAATGCACAATAAACTGAAACAGTGACTAAAACGAAATAAATATAAATATCACAACCAAATTATAATGTCAGCAAACATAATATACAAATTAATGACTGAAATGCAATCATTAAAAACTAAAAGGCTCGAAATAAAACAATAATAATTTCATTAAATGACTTAAATAAAGCATTACAAAGGAGAAGGGACCTAAACTGTAGTTACCCCATGCTTGCAAAACACGGGTGCCCAGACCCTTGAAACGGCGCCGTTTCGGTTTGGAAATATAAGCCCAAAACCGGCTTATTTCCCTCCCCATTCTCATTTATCTCATCTCCACAAAATAGGGAGAGAGAGAGATGCAGAGAACTCTCTCGCCCTTCCCTCCCCAGGGGAGGAGCAACCGCCCTACACCGGTGGCGGCCACGGCGGCTCACGGCGGAGCCCATGGTGGCCGGATAAAAAAAAGGTCCCAACAGACTCCCTCACTCAACCCCAATCTGAAAAACAACCCCACCTAGCCTAAAACCAAACCTAAACCTTTAGATTTAGGATAGATTACCTTCGAATCACCGAGACTCTGACGACCTCTCGGATTCCACGGTGACTTTGGGGCTCCCCGGCTTTGAACCTAGGTAAATCTCTCCACACTCTTATTTTTCGGTTGTGGTTTTTGTTTCTTTTTTTCTTTTCTGGAAACCCCAATCGTTCCCCCCTGTCACTGCATGCATGTTTTTTATGGTCTTTTTTCTTTCTTTTCTCTGAACCCGAATCCTTCTTTTTTTTGACTCTGATATCTTTGCTTGATTTATGGTTGATTTTTGCTTCGTTTGGTGAGATGATGATGTCTAGGAATAGGGGAAATTATGGGTTGTTGATTTAGGGTGATAAAATCCCGGATTTTCGGGATTATAGGGATTTTTTTATTTAGGGTTTGGATATATATTTTTTACTGATTTGGGTTGATTTGGGACTGATGGGGTTGCTGTGGTTTACTGTAGATGCAGGCAGCCGGCGTCAGAGGCCGCCGGGTATGGCTCGGCTGGAGCGGCGATCGAGCTGATGAGGCGAGTTGGCGGCGGCTAGCTACTGGCTTCGGTTTAGGGTTTAAAACCCTAATTACTTGGGCCAGATCCAGGCCTGGTTCGAGTATTGGGCCTGAACCGGGTCTGGGCTCCAAGTCTTGTAATTCTGGGTCGGGTTTGGTATCTGATGGGCTTCGGGTTTGAGCCTGCAAAAATTGTAATATTTGTAAATTAATAATAATAATAGTAATAATAATAATATAACGATAATAATAATAATAATAATAACGATAAAAAACTCGGACAAAACGGGTGTCTACAGCTGCCCCTCTTTGCACATTCTTGTGTTAACAAGAATAGGGCAAAGATGATAAGACAACACGTTTTTGTCTGGTTCTCTTCCATTTACATATAAATTGGATAATATTGGTTGTTGGGGACGACACTGCTCATACGTGATGAAGAGTTTGGGTCGTCTAAAGGTGACACGGCTCCTACGTGATGAAGAGTTCTTGGCCATCTAAAGGTGATAACACAGTTCCTACGTGATGAGGACGGCTGGTTATCTAAGGGTGACACGACTCCTACGTGATGAGGAGATCTGGTCAGCTGATGACACGGCTCATA